AGTGGCTAGCAGAAGCCACCATAAGACAGCCAACTAGAAGAGGCATAAGCAATGTAAAATTGAAACTTGAGGAACTCATTTTTCTTTTCTGGTTTTTGCCCAGCAGAGAGAATATGTTTGGAATATGAGAGGTTAGTAGCTTGATAATTTGGTTTGTATGAGAAGAAGGCTAGAGCTTGATATTTATAGTAAAGGAAAGCTGGAAAGGGTAGAGGAAAAGGCCAAGAAGCTCCATTCAGCTCGGTTGGATACAGTTGTTGAGTACAAAACATATACATAAAAAGAAAAAAAGCTGTCAAAATCGCACCCACAACCACGAACCAGCAAAAACACAGTTTATGATATCACGCGGCTTTACCTTATTTATTTCTGTGAGAAAACTGGAAAGTGCAGTGCTTTCGGCTTTATTGCTGCTCAGTTCCTGTCGCCAGGTCAGCCTTTTGGACTATTAGAGTTCCAGTTCACAACCCGTACCACCCACACCTAGACGCGGCACCGTCGTTGGTAAAAAAAACATTAAAATGTTAGGCTTTGTTTGTTGGTGATTTTATTTGATATTTGTTCCTCATTTTTAGTAAAAGTAAAAGGAAACCCAACGGAGCCTTACTAAAAAGATAAAAACAGGTACCGTTTTTTATCTTTATCTATTTAATTGGCTAAATGCTGAATTTAGCTAATAATATTTAGATTGTTGCGTAAATAAGGATCAAACTTATCATTTGTTCTAAATCAGGATTTTACCTTTTCAGAATGTGTCAAATAAGAACTTTTTTTGGACTATGGAGGGATAAATTTTAACTGGTGACAAATGGCAATTCGGATGCCAAAATGTAGGTTGAATCCTTCCATTTATTTTTTTGAATGAGAAAGAAAAGTTTAATGGTGAAAAAAAATTTTACAAAAAAAAAAAAACCCAAAAAAAGAAGACTTTCTTTTTTTCAAAACATCTACGTTGAGATAATTTTTTTTGCATTGTTTGAGAAAATATTTTTGTTTTTATTTTTATTTTCACCTTTTGTTTTTTATTCATTGCTTTTTTCAAAAATATATGTGATAAAAAAAATTAAATTATTTTTAAAATATAAACTAAGGAAATACGTTTTATGTACGATATAATTTTTTTAAAATTAAAAAAATAAGTAAAATATTCAATGATATTATCTCAGATTTTAAACTTCTGATTTTTATTTAATAATTTGATAAACTGTTGTAAAAGAAATTTGAACGGAAAGAGATGAAAAAAAGGTTATAAATAATTCAATATGTCAGATATATTTAAAGACAAAAAAAAAAACAAATAAGAAAATAATTACTGTTATTGACTTTTAATTATAAATATAATACATATTTATTAATTAATAACTTCAAAAGTGTGCTAACTTTTTAACTTGTAAAACGCTAAAAAAGTAATGAACATCTCATATTTTCATAATTGAGAATAATTTCTTTTAATTTTTATATTTAAACTCATTTTTATTTTTAATTACAAAACACATTATTATTATTAATTTTTTTAATTAAGAAAATAAAAATAAAAAAACTTTTATTATGAAAAACTAATGACCAATGAAGTTACAAACTTTTTCTTTCAATCAAGAAAGTTATTATAAATTCTCTCATTTGGGATAAAATTTACATGAAATTTTTTAAATGAAATTTTAAAAATTTTTTTAAAAAAATTTTTAATAAAAAATTAAAATCAATTAATTAATAAAATTCGATGTAAAAATTAATAATATATAAAAAATTTATTAAAAATATTATTTATAATTCAAATTTGATCGATATGTTTAATAGTAAAAATTTAATCAATATTTTTACTAACTATTTATCTAAAAAAATATATAAATTTATTAAATTTTTTCAAAATTTGTATACTCAATGTATATAATGAAACCTTTCAATTTATCAGTTTTAATTTTTAATTTTTAATTTTATTTAATCCTTTCTAATAAAAAATTTTTTAAAAAATTTTATCTAAATCTTTCTCAAATTGGGGTTTGTAAAAAATAAAATCTTGAGAATAACAAAAACATCAAACCTAGCACAAACTTCAAAAATCGAGAATTCTAAACTCTTCTTTTTCGGTTCCATTTAGACGAAAAATGAAATTGACTCTAGTAAGATTAAAAATAATAATAAAAGTTATTATAATTACAATTTAAAAATTTTATGTATTATGATTGAAAAAAATTAATAAAATATTTATGTTGAATGAAGCGTGTTCGGGTTAATATTTAAATTTAATTAATAGTGTCACGAGCTTAATCACTTTGCATCAAAAATACATGTGAAATACAAACCTAACATTCATCTTCCAAGTCCTCCTGCATCATAATGAACACCGAATAAAAACAACTTAAATTCTCGTCTGGATCGAGCTTTAATCTCTCCATTGTTCTTTCTTTTAATCTCTCTATTACTAATTTAGTTTTTTTTTTTCTTTTTTAAGCAAGGGAGAGATTTGAAAGGTGGTAATGGTAATAGTAGTGGTAGGAGGAGCGACGGTGGTAGTGGTGCTTGAAGGAGCAACATCAACCAACAACAATAACTAAAAATTAAAATCACAATTTGTAGCATACGCAAATTGGCTTTTCAAATTTGGGATTTTTTTTCTGTTGCTTTTTCTTTTTCAAATTTGGGTTTCCTTAGCAATTTTGAGATTGTGATAATAACAATAAGATTTGAATTTCGATAATTTTGAGATGATGAAGATTGTGATAAAGATGAAGGGTAAAATTGATGTTTAGGATGAATTTCTTTTTAGGTTCTGAATGTTGATATTTTGTTTTTTTTTTTTTTTTGAAATTGATAATGGCTTGAATAGAAATTGATCGTAGCTTGAGAAAGCAAAACAAAGAGAGAAAACATTAAGATTTATTTTCTCTAGTGATCAAGGTGGAGAAGCCAAATTATGGCGAATTCTCGATTAGAGATTCTGTTTTCCCAAATCAATGGAATTAATTTTTTATGAACAAATTGGAATTAATTAACTTAATTAAGTTTTAAAAAATTAAGTAATTTAAGATTTAGACTTTTCTTATAGTCTAAATTTACATTTTTAGTCCATCAGACAAAAATTATGGTTAAATTATGCCTAAGGTCTCTATATTCTACCAAAATTTAAAATTTAATTCTTATATTATATTCATACAAATTTAGTGTTCATATTATTTTAGTTCGATAATTTTAGTCCAATCATTAATTTCATCAATTCTTTATTATTAAAAATATTAACATAATTATTGATTTAATTACGTGATAGTTGACTTGATGATATTAACGTTAATTTTACTAATGTAATATTGATTTTGTTAACGTAATAATTTAAATAGATAAAATAAATTATTAAATTATGTAAATAATCATTATACTCATAAGAAATTTGAAACTTAGTTATTTTAATATAATTTCATAAAAAGAATTTTATTATACAAATTGAATTTAATAATATTGTCCAATTAATAATAAAATCATATTTTTTCACTTTTTTAAAAAAATTAGATTTTAATTTTTTTAAAAAATAAATATTTCAAATTCTTTTTAAATTTTTTATATTTTTAAAATATTAATTTTAATATTTTTTATCAATTTAATTTTTTAAAAACCAAAATTTTTGATTTTTTAAAATCAGATTTTATTTTTATAAAAAAATTAATTTTTTTAATTTTTTAAAAAATTTTCTAGTTTTTAAAAATATTAAATTTACTTTTTCAATATTTTAATATTTTTAAATTTCATTTTTTTGAAATTTTTTGTATTTTTCAATTTTTTTAAAAAAATATAATCTGTTAAAAAATTTAATGTATTTAAAAAATATTAAACTTTAGCAACATAGGAAGTTAGGAACCTTTTTGTAGGTGTTAATTTAGCATTTATGAAACTACTAATATTAAATTCAGTAATCAATTTTCAAAAACAAAGTTTTAGAAAATCAAACAGTGCCTAAGTTGGGATCTTGTTCTATAATATTGTTGCCAATGCCAATGCCAGTCTTTCAATTTACAACAATTGAAACGAATATTTCATTTATTCAATCATCTGTCTTACTTTTTATCTTTTTCTTTATTTTAGTATTTAAAATTATCATAGATTGAATCCCACAAATATTGTTGCCAATGGGATCCTGTTTTTAATTTTTTATTTATTCTTTTGGGCCTGGCCTTGCCTACTGGAACTGTGAAATTTTTGAATCAGTAGGTGTAACTTCCTTGAAGATCACCGACCAAGCTAGGCAAATTTTTTTCCTAAAATTTTAGGCGAACTCTGTTCTGGACCAAATATTATTATATTCCTGCCATGCACGCAGCTTGGCATGTTATTTTATTTATTTTAACTGGGATGGAATGGCTACCTGACATGCATAAGAAAGATATATTTGGTGTGCGTTGCTGCAGTGAACACAGCAAGCAAGCTGCAAAGGACTAGCATTATTGATTTATTAATGTTAGTACTAGTATTATCATTAGTAGTAGGATAGCAAAGCAAGCATTCATGAGTTTGCAAAGGTTTGATATTCCCTTTTGTGTTTCTGCAGTCTCAATTACTTGCTTTGTTTAACAGTATACCACTTCGCAAGTCCTTTTCCTTTCTCATGTCCTAACTTTATACCACTACTTACTGTACTTTGTAGGGATTGGGGAAAGGTCATAAAAGTGATACGAAATTTGTATTTAACGTTGTTTGTTAAAGGATAACAATCAGTACGTCGAGTCTGAATTCTTTCACTTTGATAATAAGGAAAAGCAATCAAATTTTCGTATGATTTTCATCATCCCCTTAAAATCCAAAAAAATGAGGGGTTAAGAGCGTAAAATTGAGATTTTAATTAAAAAACTTATCTCATCTATCTCTAATGAAGTTTTTAAACTAAGTTAAACCTGCAGTGATCCGTTTGGCTAAAAAAAAAACGTTTATATATCCTTTTTTGTGACATTTTTATCAAGAATTTGTTATTTTTGATGTCATCAGAAAATATGGAAAATCAATAGATCTTTTCGTGCACATAATTCTTGACATTCACATTCTTCTCTTCTCATTGCTTATCATATATACTAGGCTATAACATGTTACATAGATAGTAATGAGCATCCTCGAACAACAAAAGAATATTGCAATAATGAAAAAAAAATTCAAAGAATATTTTGATTAATTAATAGGTATTGTTGGCTCTAAGACATGTTGCATTCTTGGGGTAGACCTTGGGGAAATCTCTTGGCGTCAGTGCAGTAATTGTATATCATGTAGTTCTTCTGTACCCATTGCAGCCTTTGTTGGTTTGTTGAATCCATCTCTTGAGAGAACCATGCATTGTTGGTTGAGGCAGAAGATGGGGTATTTGATTTGCAGGAAGAATCTCCATTAGACCAGACACAGGCATTGGCATTAAAGTTTCTGTAAGAGGCAGTGAAAGGAGCTTGAGTCCAGTCTGTCTTCACCAGACCACCCCTTGTAGCCCAGTCATCAGCATTCCACAAGCTAGAGTAAATTCTCATAGGCTGGTTCTTTGGAAATGGAACACCGATTGACTCCATGTTTTTGAACTCTCTAATTGGTGTGCCGTCCACAGAGAAACTGGAACAGAGCAATAATAAATTTCTTAATCAATCAATTCCAATTTCCAAACGAAAGATGGAAAGAAGATTTGGGGGAGGGGGGAAAATATATTTGATCCATATATGAATACTCACATAATACGTTGGGGATTCCAGAGGATGGAATATGTGTGGAAATCTGCAGTTGGGTCAAACCAGAGATAAAACTGCTGTTCTTTATTACCCTTTCCTTGTGAAAACACATTTGTATGAAGAATGTAAGGGTCACCACTAAGATTTCCCAGGAACTCGAAATCAATTTCATCCCATGTGGATCCTTTCGAAGATAACTGCACATAGAAACATATTTATCAGCAATCAACAATCTATATATTGTCATGTATAAATTGCAGAAAACAGAATCTAATTGGAAACAACTTACATAGTAGGCAGTGACTGTGCCAGCAGAGTTGCCAGGGACAAGCTTGAGCTGCATATCAATCTTGCCAAAAAGATACTCATTCTTGGACTGGAAACCGGAACCAGAGGCTTTATCAAGGGAGAGAGTGAGAACTTCTCCATTGTTGACTATCTTACCACGGCCATCTCCCCATGTGATGTCAAAATCTTGGTTGAAGTTGCTGGCAGATACTGCCCTCAGACAGCCAATTACGAGAGACAAAAGCAACGAGAAACTGAAACTCGAAATAGAAACCATGGTTTTTGACTCAGCAAAGGTTGGGTTTGTATATGTTAGAAGTTGATCGCAGCTTGGAGATTGGAGTGTGTTGAGATTATGAAGCATAAGCAATAAGTGGGTATTTATAGTGCGATCACTAAGAAAAGTGAAAGTTGGGGAAAGGCAGAGGAAGGTCCAGTAAGCTTGGTTGTAAACAGTTGTTGGGTCGGAAGACTGGGAAAGTATATAAAAAAAGTAGCCGTCAACATCGCATCAAACAAACACGTCCCAACCAAGACGGAGTTATGAAGGGACGCGGTTTTACGTTGTGTTTTTTTATAAGAAAGAGCCGAGTTTCAAGGGAGGTCGCTCTTCGCTTGTAGCTTCCAACTTCTGTCACCATCACCAGGGTAGCACACCGCGGCCAGTTAGATTTTTTCCTCCTTTTAAATTCACCTGTTCACCAACAACTGCCAGCATAAAGACAAATGCCTTTATAAAATTATGATTGCGAACGATTTTTTAGAAAATTACAAAATTTAAATTAATTGTTAATTAATTATTCAAGTTTGCACTCTTAAATTTGGGAGAAAAAAAAACTTTTTGCACTCTTAAAAGTTAAACCAAAAGCACTAAAATCTTAATTAAAAAAAGGACTAAAATATTGTATTAATTTTGGCTGCTCTAAAAATTGATAATGTTGCCCGCCTCCCTTCATAGAATTTTATGAATTTTGCAAATTATAATACATAAATTTTTAATCAACTGCTAACTTGATCCTGTACACTATTACACCAAATTAATTTTTTAAACTTGTTGAATTAGTATGAACTTACTAATTATTACTATAGTAATGAAACCAAGCACATTTATTTAATTACTATGTTACTACTAAATATTGTTTCAAGCAATTTCCAAGCCAATAAAAGGGGAAAATCAAAATCAAAAAATTCAAGTTTCCATATATATATATATTAATTCATGAGATTAGCATGCAATATTTCTTTTTGATTTTTTTTTTAAATTCTACCATCATTTTTCTTAATTAGTTGTGTCACTTCTATTCCATTAAAAAACAAATTATTACTTAGACTTTTATCGTTAATCAATACTTTATGGGCACAATAAGGTTATAATAGTCCTTGAAATTTATATATTTTTATTTAAAAAAATAATTTTTGTACTTTTTTATGCAATAATATGTTTTTTTTATTAGAAACAATGTTCTTGTTTATCGCTATTTGTTTTAATGTTATCCGTATTAGGACCTGACGTTTTTATTACACTTCCCTCTATGGACTTTGTAAGTCTAAGTTTCAGCCCACCCAATGTCACTTCCTTGAATATTCCCAGCGTAGGCACAATTTTTCTCACAATCTTAGGTGATATGCCCTTAATATGTTGTTTCTTATCATGCAAATTTTGCAAGTGGATTTTATTTATTCAAATTAGAATGTGCACTCTGACATTTACGCCAAACATTTCATAAAGAAGCGAGGCAATTGCCTATGAACTACTCTTAATATAAGAGCCCTATAAAATATTGACATGACTTTTGAATGCTATAAATAAATTTTGTATAAAATCTAAAATCTTGCAGATATTTGATTGTTTATCTTAAAACATTCTAACGTTTAAAAAAAATTTAAAATCAAATTACTTTTAAATTTGATTATTTAAATTTATTTTAAAATACATTTGAATCTTTTTTTTTTCATTTCAAAAATTATTTATCGACTTTCAAATATCATTTCTTTGATATAAATATAAATTATATGATTTTAAAATTTTATATTTTTGTAAAAGACATACAAAACATTTTAAAAAACATACGCTCCACACAACAGGCAAAATCTAAACCATTTGGGAGTTTGCTTTAGAAATAGGGGACAGCAGTTAGAAGTAAAGAGTTGAACAGTATCGTAAACTTGTTTGGAATAGATTGGTAAGGCTGGAAGGGCCTTTTTGTAACAAAATAATTGTAAAAGAAATTAAAAGAGAGGAAAGCAATCGGGAAGCGTGAAAAAAAAAAAAAAGGAAGAACTGTGACCAGCTGCTTAGAAATGAAAAAGATTTGTCCCGTAACAAATAGAGAGAGAGAACGAAAAAACCGAGTAGATTTTCACACGCGGTTTTGGCAGATTGATTTTTGAGGAGATGGGCACGGCCCAGCTCCTCACTTTCCCTGCACCAAACGTCCATTCTGATTTTCACACGTGGTGCTTTTTTCCATTTTCTTCAATGCCCTACTTTCTTTGGCTATGTCCTTTGGGTGACAACTGGTTGTGACCTTTAAGTGGTTGGTGCTTGTTAATACGTTAAAGTTAAGACTAGTGCCAAAATAAAAAAAAAAAAAGAAAAGAAAAAGGATAAGGGTAATTATCAGGACCGGTTTACTGCTCCTTTGCGCCATATGGCATCGGGTGTGTGGCTCAAACTCAGGCCGTCGAATTTCAGCAAGAGCCCCAGAATTTTGATTGACTGATTTGAAAAGTTTTAAGAGTTTAATGCAAAGATGAAATACAATATACCTTTTTTTTTTGAAACAGTGAATTCTCTATTGAAGTTGATATACAAGTTACGCCTTCGTTTTGCTACTTTTTTTTGTTATTTACTTTTTACTAATTTTGTAAAGAACTAATACCTAGCTGTGAAAAGAAAATTCTATATATAATAATAGAGGTTAAAAACTTAATTTTATTATTAAAATAATATTATTCGTTTATGCTTTTAAATGCACTTTTTACTTCATTTTTCTTTTTAGAATTAACAAGTAATAAAAACAGATGACACTGTATTAACGTTTTAATGTTATGTGCTCATGTTATTTCGTGCATGAAAGATTAATTGCCCTCAGAGCTGATTCAACGATTTTCTTCCCTCTCAGTAAATTTCTTACTTTGATCCACCAAAAAAAGAAAAGAAAATTTTTTCTTTCGCTTTCCGTCATATCGTAAGTTTATATATAGTACGTGAATTTTATTTTCTATTCGAAAACCATAAAAATTTTTATTGATTTATATTAAACAAGACTACACAGCCCAATTAAAATAAAAAGTTTTCCAATTCTTTGGAAGCTAACCTGAAGTAACGATTTGTTATGTCCTTTCATAGTTTTTTATTCTTCAAAAGTTTGTAGAGAGCGGCAAGTAGACATGTGACTGAATTTGGACCAGGCCTACTCTAGCAGCAGATCTAGATTCAACCCATTTCTGACTTGGATTCTCTTTGGTCTGAAACCCAATTGTTTGGTATGTTTTTCAGTTTGTTTATTTATTTATTTTTGGTTGAAATGTAAAATGATTTGATATTATATATATTTTGTCAGTTTGTTATAAAAAAATAAAATTTACATTTAAATATTTTAATTTTTATTCATATTTTGATATTTCATATTATTATCATTAATTAAATAATTGACGTAATATAAATATATAATAAAATCATATCATAAGATATAAATATCAAATTATTATCACATTAGTTATTATCATGTGAATAAAAATATTAAAAATAAAATATAAAAAAATTTAATCTTTTAAATAAAAAGGAAAATAAGAAAAAATTCGATAAAATAAGGAGGGAAAGCATTGGGAGAGATAGAAAGGGATTGAAGAAAGGGGAAAGAAAAAGGAAAGGGAAAGGGCAGATGCCATCAACTGGTTCAAGGTTGGGTCAGGTTCAGTCTACCCCGAACGTAATGGATTGGCACTAATTTAGCTCAAATGAGCCGGTCGACGACGGTGAGGCATTTTCTTTTTCCCTTCTCTTTCGTTTTTCCCCTCCCTCCCCTTGTCTCTCTCCCTCATTCTTTTCCTTTTTTTTTTTTATATTTTTAAATTTTTAACTAAAAATTATATTTTAATTATTTTTAAATTTTTATTTAAATACTAAAATAAAAATAGATTGCATGATAATGATTGGACAATTTTATGTCATATGCTAATATTTTATTAAATATTAATATCATGTAAATAAATTGATTGATGATATTAGTTTAGAGTCTTAAAGTACTTGATAGAATGAAAATTTAAATATTTAAATGTGAATTTTATTTTTTTAAGTATCAAACTAATAAAAAATATATAGCACATGGATCATTTTTATATTTAACCATATTTTTTAAATATATGCATATTTGTATTTCCAATTTTATAGTAAGTGCATCTTTTTATTATTTGAATTGGTGTTAATAAAAAATCCAAAAAATGATTTAACAAAATTTAAATAATTGTAAATTTAATTCTAGTTTATAATTATATTTTTATTTGCATCGTGTACGTGTTAAAATAAAAAATAAGTGGAGATCTATCTGACATGAAATTTTAAAGGGATCACAAATAGGCAATCCTCTAAAAATTTTTTAAGTGAAAATTTTCTTTAAATTTTATTAGAATGGTGAATAGTTTAGAAAAAAAATTTTCAATATCAATGATTGACATTTATTTTCAAATAAAAATGAAATTGAAAATTATAAAAAAGATGAGAAATAAAATTTGGAAAGTGTGTTTAATAAGGATAAGAAATAATATTTCAGATATTAGAATTAGAATTAGGATTTCTTCAAAATTTACAAAAATTTACAAAACAAATTTGACAATAAAACTTTTTTCAAAAAAAAAAAAGTGTTTCTTGAATACTATTTAAGTAAGAAATATTTTAAAAATTTTGCAAAAAATGTTGGAGGAAATTTAAGGAAGCTTTCAAGATTTTAAATAATGGAATGAATTAATAATAAAGACACCATTTTAGCTCAGAACATTTAGGACAACAAAAGATTAGTGGATGCTATCTATTGATGGGTATCTGTGGAGTGATAATATCTTTAATATATGTAACTAAACTTTAGAATCTGATTTTATATTATAAATTAGAATCTATAATATTTTTTAAAAGTTTTATTCAAGTTTAATATTTCCTTAAGGAAGATTTAATTAAGTGATTAATTATATGTTTAAACAAAAACAAAATTGATAACGATTTCTTTTCGAATTTAGCGGTAGAGCTCTCATTTAGTGTAAGGTATTTAGTGTTTAAGGCTCCATTGGAAGAGTTTAATTGCATTGCTCTCATTGTATTGGAAGGTGCATGCTATGACTAGACCCAAGAAGAATGTAGGAGTAGTGGAATAGTAACATGTAAGAAGCATGGTATGGGTGAACGATAAACATAATAGTTTTGTAATCATAATTAAAGTTGCAAGTTGTTTTTTTCATTTTTTAAATTGCTTTCAACCTTGGAACAAAGTAGCCTGTTTTTTCTAACCTCAGAAAGAGTCCAATCCAACTAGCTAGCTCTTTGAGCTTCATCTTTATATTTCCACGGGCTGTAACTTGTATTCTGGAACTAATATACAAGGTCCACGGTTAGACGAATCTTTCTAGAATCCAGTTGAGGAATTCTCTGCAAGAAATTAGAAGTCCAGTCCATGCATCATCATTCTTTTTTCTCCGTCCACAACAGAAGGTACTAGAAACCAACTTTTGCGTGCTGATCTGTCAACAAATGACTTAGTGGAAATAAACATCCACGCTTATTTCTTGCCTGGGGTAGGTTGACAAGACAACCTAGGAAAGCAACCTTGTCTGTTCTATGATAAAATATTGGTCCTAGAAGCTGCATTTAATTGGACTGACTATAATTATGATAAGAAGGCCCATTTAAATGTGTTTGTTTTTGCGATCCAGCTGTTCAGTTGTAGATCACCCCACCATCCGACTTTCAGTATCAACAGACATTCCCAACATTGCCCGCAGCCCTATAAATTGCCACAAGCTCAAATTTTTCTGCGTGTGACAATTCAAACTTATCTCAATCGTCTAAAACCCAAAGTCTTGCTTTCTACACCATCAAACTATAGTCAATGGATACAGTTTCCTCTCATCCAAATTCTCTAGAAATGCTTCTGATCACTTGTCTTATGGTTGAAATTTTCATGGTTGCTTATGCTGGTAACTTCTATCAGGATGTTGATATCACATGGGGAGATGGTCGTGGAAAAATTCTCAACAACGGCCAGCTTCTTACTCTCTCCCTCGATAAATTCTCTGGCTCAGGCTTCCAATCCAGGAATGAATATCTGTATGGGAAGTTGGATATGCAACTCAAACTTGTGCCTGGCAACTCTGCTGGGACTGTCACTGCCTACTATGTAAGCAACTTTCCAGACAATTACCATATCAATTCATGATTTTTTGCACAAATAATGTTCATTGCTAACAAATTTATTCTTGTTTTCTGCAGTTAAAATCACAAGGATCATCCTGGGATGAGATAGATTTTGAGTTCTTAGGGAACCTAAGCGGTGATCCTTATATTGTTCACACTAATGTTTATACAAAAGGCAAAGGTGACAGAGAGCAACAATTCTACCTCTGGTTTAACCCAACTGCTGATTTTCACACCTACACAATTCTCTGGAATCCTGGACACATTATGTAAGTAAAGAAAAAAGAACATGACATCTAAGCCCTGCACTTTACCATGCAAATATATATAAATATATCAGCATTAGAATAACTCCGATTTTCTTTGTTTCAGTTTCTATGTAGATGGTCGACCAATAAGAGAGTTCAAAAACCTGGAGTCAGCTGGTGTTCCATACCCAAAAAACCAACCAATGAGAATGTATTCTAGCATCTGGAATGCTGATGACTGGGCCACTAGAGGAGGCCTTGTGAAGACAGATTGGAGCCAAGCACCCTTCACAGCTTCTTTCAGGAACTTCAATGCCAATGCTTGCATCTGGTCTAATGGAGTATCTTCTTGCAGTTCAAATTCATCATCTTCTAACAACCCATGGTTCTCACAAGAGCTGGATTCTTCTGGTCAAAAAGTGCTAAAATGGGTGCAAAAGAATTATATGGTATACAATTATTGCAAAGACGCAAAACGATTCCCTCAGGGCCTCCCTGTTGAATGCACTGTCACGAACAGAAAATAGAATAATAAGATCCGACTACTTTCCGCTAGACAATTCGATACGATAATTGTTTCGAGTTGTTTGTTATGATCATGTAAAAATTTAAAATTAATACACTTTTTCGTTTTTGTGCTATACTGGTGTAGCCAATAAATGAATGTGCACTCAATTTCTCGCATCAAATAATGCATCACCCATTATCTATCATCTATGGTTGCAACCAACTTAGGTGGTGCGTAAAAAAATGAGATATTTTGAAATAACTCTTTTCGTTTAAAATTTAACACAATAATTCTTAAAATAAAATAACACTCTTTATAAAAGATAATTGTCGGCGACTCTCTAACATCTAAGTAGAGTACCAAGAATTATTTCTTTCGAAATGTAATTTTTTTGTTTTATTTTAAAACATTAAAAATTGTAAAAAAAAATGTATCGTCTCTTTTTTATTAATAAACGTTTTATCATCGAGTAGTAAATAAAAATTAAAGACAGAGGAATGCAGACAACTATCAATGATAATGCGCTAATATATGTATGCTAATGAATGTTATGTAGGATGAAATGCAATTTTAAAGTTGGGTTCTTAAGTATAATGAGACCACTCCGACTCTTCAACATCTAGGCAGAGCTTAGGTGCGATTGTTTATATTTAAGATCCCATTTTTTTAGTATTTTTTATTTAATAATCCCATTATTAATGCGAATTAAGAATTCGTGTGAAAAAACTTAATGAAATAAAGTTTCTAAATACCCTATCATCTAGGCAGCATTCGAAAATAAATTACTTCAAGTGAGATTTTCACACGTATCCTTAGGATTTTCAGGTGGTTTTAGTTAAAGCTTGAGTCGAGGTTTTAAAGGTTAAGGTCTCAAGATTTTGAAGATTTGAAAATGTGTATCAAATTTTAGGTCTTTACCTTTGGATTTTAGGGGTTTTTAGAAATTTGGATTTTTCGGTTTTGGATATTAAGGTTTGAGATTTTGGATTTTTATTTTAGGGTTTAGTGTTTAGAGACTGAAATTTAAGGTTTGGGATTTTGGATTTCTAGGGTTTAAGGTTTCGTTTTTAAGGTTCAGAGGGTTTAAGGTTTAGGAGGTTCAGGGTTTAATTTTAGGAATTTAGAGGGTTTAGGGTTTCGTTTTGAGGGTTTGGAGGATTTAAGATTAAATTTCAAAATTTTGATTTTTGAAATTTTTTTAAAAAGAAAAAGAATATCTCTAAAAATCTCCAATATCTGGCGGACTTTCTGAGCAAGTTCAATTTTTGTAAATTTCAAGAAAACAAAATTTTTTATTATAAAGAGTTAATAATTTTAATTAATTTTTTTATAAGAATAATTTCTCAACATCTAGGCAAGAATTACTATTATTTAAAACACAATTGTATTCCCTTCAGTGTCTAAGCAGGGAAAATTTTTTTTATTATTATTATATTTGTATTCAACACTTGGGTAAAAAAATGTTAAAAGGAATTAAAAGTTTTAAAAACACATTTTTTTTTAATTAATATCATTATCATTATTATTAACATAAACAACATATACTTATTCTAATAAAATCTAATAGTATTAAAATATGCATAATTAACAATAACAATAAAGTTAAAATGATAAAAAAAATAGTTCAAAAAAAATTTAAGAAAAAAAATTACCTGAACTGGACCAGTCAACGATTCGGTCAATACCGGTTCGATCCGATTTGACGATTTGGAGCAGAGGCGGTTCAAATCAGTTTGCTGGCGGCTCGTCTGGACTGGCTGAAGGCTGGATGAGACGGGTCAGCGGGTCAAGTCAACAGGCACGCGCGAATCTTCTTATGCTCAAAACGGCGTCGTTTTGCTCCTAAGCTTAAAACAGCGTCGTTTTACTCGTATGATTTTTTATAAAAGTTAGTTTTTTTTTTTCAGTTCATTTGATCCCTTCCCAAAAAAAATTTAACTTTCCCAACTCTCTCTAAGTTTGCCAAAAATCGGCGCCCCACCGTCACACTGACCGTCGCCTAAAATCGCCATCGGTGATCATTACCGATGGTCATCGGTGATCGTCGGTGATCGAAAAATGGTCAAAAAATCACCAAAAAATTTTTTCGATGCCCTCTTTCCGAATTCAACTTTCTTTTTGCATGAAAGAGCCTTGATAGTTACGAATCAATTTTTAAAGTTTTTTTTTCTTCTGAAATACTTAAACTAATGATTTCTCTTTCTTGTTGTAGGGTGGTTGTGGCGCTGAGGTTCCTCCCTACGAGGAGGACTGTGTCATTGTTTTTCTTGTTTTTGTGGATTGTTTTGGGGTTTTTTTTTTTTTTGATAGGTGAGGATGGGGGAGTGTTCGGGTGTGTGGAGTTTTGCATTTTTTTGGGTAAGGGAGAGCTTGATGTTTTCGTGTCATCTGGGTGTCCGAGAGCCAGCCTAAAAGGAAGAAAAGGATGGGTACTTTATAGGGCTGAAAATAATGGTGGTAAGTAGAATGCACGCTTAGCAAGGTATAGGTACCATGGCAGAGTAAGGTCGATGGTGCTAGGCAGTTGGGCAAGTAAGGTACAGGGTTTTAATGGGGTTGGAATGGTAGTGACAAGAATAGGTGAACAGGCTGGTGCCGTGCACGGCACCATGCCTATCCCTGTCTCAACCCCCTTCTTTTTTTTTTTTTTTAAAAAAACTTATTATTATTATATATTTTAATTTATTAATTTATATTTTAATTAAATCAATATTATTATTATTATTATTAACATTATAAAAAATTGAAAATGGTAGACCCGGACAAAATTCGGTGTCTACAAATAGGAATAATATGTAATCTATATGTATGTTCAAGAATATACAAGAAAAGAATACAAACGAAGAAATTGATTAATTATTTCAGTATAAAATAAAGAATAGACACAATATTAATGAAACACAGTACAATATACAACATGACTTAAATTTTGGATTAACTATAAAAGGTAAAAAAGAACATAACTCTACCTATAGGTTAAGCTCATAAGGTTAACTATATGTAACTTTAGGTCACTCCTAAAAAAGTTTTCAAATTGTTCCTTGCATCATTATCCATTACAGACTAGTAAAGCATCATAATCCTCACCCATTATAGTTTAGAAGTGAAACATATTCAATTTGAGTGAGAGTTTTTTGCTAGCCCATGTAGAAACATGAAATCTCACGAAGGTGTAGGTATTTTACTCCATTTTAAGGGATAAAACTAGGGTGTAGAGTCCACATTATGCACATGCAAATAAATGATAGATATGAAAAGGAATAACTGAATAAATAGAATACAAGCATGAGAAAAAAATCTTAAATTTATTAAGTTAGGCTTGGATAATTATAAATCATTTATTGGCCTGACTCTCCTTATCCCCAATGGAGTCACCAAACTATCATAACATATAAATCCATGGTCTTATTGCTAGACATGAACTTTAAAACTTATTACTAATATTTTTTATTAAGGTGTGATTGGCTGCTACCTGACAAAATTTGTCTCATTTAAAGAGGAGTCACAAACTTAATTCTAGTATCTTTAAAAGGTAGATTCTAGTTTGCAAAACTAAATTTTAGATTCAAGAATGCAAATACATGTGAAAAAGGTTATATCACCTTTATAGCGCCCACCCAAAAAAACATACCAGTCTAATTTTAAATTATCCAAGTCTTCACCATATTTATGATTTATCAAAATATTTAATATTAAAAATTGATCTTAAAATTACTTTAATAGTTGGGTAGCAATTTAAGATAATTCTCTCAACTTAAACGTATTCATGAAAACTAGTATCCCATTCTGAAGAGGCTCTATCGTCAGATTCATTGATATATTTTTATTTAAAAATAATCAATAAAATCTTTTAATAATTTGATAAGATTTACTTTGATGAGAATCTCTTAATAATTTGATGATATTTTATTATAAAATTATTTTTAAAAAATGCATTAAATCTTCTAATAGTTTAACAAGATTTAATTTGATATGCAAATCCTCCAATAGTTTGGTAAGATAAAATAAAAAATATTTTATTTTTATAAAAATTAATTTATGAAATTCTCCAATAATTTGATATAATTCATAAATTTAAATTCATAAAAAATACTTTAACAGTTTGGTAGGATTCATAAATTTATTTTAAAAATATTTTTTTGGTTTTTTTAGTAAACAAATAAAATGAAATTCATAAAAGCACTTAAAATAAATAATGTATTACTCAATTTAAAATGATAAGTAAAATAATACCTAAGGATGAGAAAAAAAATAATAATAAAATAAAAAGAATCTAAAATAAAAATAAAATAAAAAATAAAATCGAAATAAAAAATAAATTGAAAAAATAAAAGCCAAACCTTGCAATCAGTCAATTGTTTCATGGGCGACATGCGGATCCTAAGTAGGTTTACACATGTCCTTAGTTACACAAAATGGTGTTGTATTAGGGCATTATATAAGAAAAAAATGTTGGTTTTTCCTCATACGGCCTTAACTCTTTCTTTCTTTACTTGGTTTTTGCTCTGCCTTCTTTTTACAATTCAACCCATGTAGTAGGAAAAACCTAGAAAATGGCAAAAAAACCCAATTTTCTGTTGTTGAAATCACCAAATATTACTAGAATCTTTAACTCTTGACCGAAAAATTCAATTATCAAATTCCAATATTCAAATTAAACCCAAATTAAACCCAATATTCAAAGAGAGTGATAGTGGTAGTTTTGAAAAGTTTGGTAGATGAAAACTCATTTCATTCTCCGATTATAAGTTGGAACTTTGTTTTTTTTAGGCTTCAATCGACCATGCCCAACTTTTCTAGTTTATGTTCATGAGTTTTTTTTTTTTTTAACTTTTTAAACATAAATGTTATGAAGTTGTGATCTGTCTTCTGTTAATGAAACATGGTTGTTGACCTTTTTTTATCACATGCAACCTTCTATCAATATATACACAAAATATCCTTTCAAACAAAACACAAAATAAATCCTACCCAAATAAACTCATTTTATCCTCATTTATGATTTCAGCTTTTACTGCAAAATTATATTTTATCATATTCCTATTTGAGAAATGCAAGGCTAATAGCAATACAGTAGCATGACCAGCCTATAGCTAATAACTATTAAATACATGTTAAATATTTGCCAATCTAAGCCCCATAACAAAAATATCATCTAAAAGTAGCAGTTCTATTAATATATACCAACTTTCATAAGGATACATGAAAGAAAACATACCATTTTCTTAACCATAGAAAACTACTAAGTTGAAGTCATTTACAACCAAAGAAACTGCTAGATTTAAAGAACCAAAACTCATTTCTTTTCTCAACCACAATTCATAAAATACAATCATTTTTTTTTTGCCAAAAATGCCATTTAGTAACTTTATAACAAATTTAACTTCAAAAATTATAATAGCCTTTAGACAAAAAAGATTTAGATGGTCTAAATCTAAAACATCATTATTCACATTGGAAATCCATTTATGCCATATCACCCAAAAACAAATTTTTAAATCCAAATAAAGCCTTTAAACAGAAAGTTCATATCCACCATCATCCCATAACAACCTAACAACAATTCAATAAAAGTTTTACTTTTTTAATGCAAAAAAAAAAAAGAAAAAGAATATCACCGAAATGCATGAAAGAATCAAGCTTAGGAGGAGGAAAATGAGTTAGACTCTTATAAGTATGCTTCCTAAAACCCTAAAAAAATGTGTTTGCTAATTGAGTACAACAATGCGTGACATTTAAAATTACAATGATAAATCTACATTATTATAAATTGGCACTATTAGACTTGCATCCAAGGTCACTGCATCTTGTTGGATCCCCAACTTGTTCTTTTAGAATCATTTCCTAATCCATCTTCCTCGCCTAACTAACCCACATGCAACTTAGAAAAAAAGAAGACTCAAACAAATTACACCACATAACATGCAAGAAAACAAAATCCCATTCAACTGAAACATATACCAAGACAATCAAAAAACAAAATACTTACTAACCTTCAATGTATTCTCGAATAACATTTGATAATACCTATAAAAAAAACTAATTAAACAAAGAACATAAACCAATTTACAAAAAAAAACTAATCCGATTATCATCCATACAACATGTAACAAATATTTTAGACAGATAAAAAAATACAAATCTCACAATAAAAATTTTAGACAAATTAAACACAAAAAAAAAACATAACATTGAAAAAACATTGTTTAATAACAAAATATAAAACTAAAATTTAAAAAAAACTTAAACCTAATTCAACAATTCAGCTTTATCAAATGAAATTAAAATACGTAACACGATAATCATCTAAAAAAAACTCATATTCAATTAAAAAACAAAAACCAAAAAATTTTACCTAAAATGCATAAAAAAAAAAAACCAAAACCAAAAAACAAAAGCAAAAGACAAGAACCAAAACACATATCAGCTTTGTGTGTTTCATGCTAGATTTCATTTCTTCAAAATCATCTTTAATGCTAGTAATAAAATAAGGTAGAAAAGAAATTTCAAAAATCGTCTGTAAAATACACTTGTCAAGTGCAAAAGAAACTTCCAAAAGAAAAAAGAGCAAAATATCCTATATACAATATTAAAAAAAAATGACAACCGCCAACTCTAAGATCTTAATTTTTTTTTTATCTATAATAGTATTGATATATATAGTAGATTACAAGAAATTTATTTTTTTTAAAAATCTATTTTGGTACATATTTTTAAAATATTTTTATCATCATATTTTTTAATATTTTTAATGATTTCATGAGTAAATTTTATTTTTGATCATTAACGTTTGATTAAAATTTTATTTTGCTGACTAAATTTTAAGTTATACTAATAAAAATTATTAAACTTTATTAATCATATCAAATTTAATAATTTTAATAGATTTCATCAAAAAATTTAATAAAAATATTGATATAACTATTAGGTAAGTAATCACATTAGTGCCATGTTATTTTCATATCAACTGACATATTAAGTTTTTTTTCTTGAAAAATTTGGTTTGATTTTTTATTTAATTATTATGAATTTTTTTTTGCTTTTTTATAATAATATTTTGATGAAAAATCATATTTTTGAATGGGATTCGGTTGGGTTTTTGGGTGTATTTCATTTTAATTGGTGTATGGGGGCAATTAATCCATGTGTTCTTGCTAGTGATTTCCATGTGGTACTGTATTTAGTCACTTAGGTGAATGGATACATGTCGATCAAACAAGACCCCAACGGGGCCTGGGCATGGGCCATGTCTAGAAGCCCATTCGACTAAAGGATGTTAATATTATTTATATCTAAATTTTTTTTATTTTTTATTTAAATAGAAATATGAAAGAATATTATATTATAAATATGAGAATGAATAAAATTTTAAATTTTTATTAGATATAAGAATAGAGATAAATAATATAATGTTTGTCTTGTATTCATATTTTTTATATATTTTTAAATATTTTGTAAATAAATTTTTTATTAAATAATATAAATTATTATTTTAGATTAATTAATATTAAAATATTTTTATTAAAAAATATATATTAATATATATTTATAAAAATTATTTAAATATTAAGATAAAAATAAATTTTTTATTTTTTAAAAAATTATAAATATAAAAATTATTAATATTCATTAAATATTTTATAAAAATAAAATAAATTTAAATTTAAAATATCAATTGATATAAAAATAAATATAATATAAAAATTTAAATATAAAAATAAAAAATACTTTACTTTCTTTATATCTTATATATTAACATTCTTAATTTGATGTTGACATCTCTAATTCGATATGGCCGAAAGAGCCAGCTAAGAGGTTTTCTATTACTATTAGACGCCTTATTGGCATGAAAATTAATTATTGCATGCAATTTGTTTAACTAATCCCCTCTTAACAATCATTTCGCAGGCTGGTGTTACTGTCACATCTCATCTCTTTTCCTCATCCCACCAACTCCGATTTGAATCCCGAACAAACCTTCTCCAATTCTGCCTCTTTCTTGGTAATCCATCAAATCTAATTGGCGGATACAAAAACTCCCTTGGACAGAAGTAAGTTTTTATCCTTCTAGTTTTCGGATGCTCATTGTCGCTTGTATTATTTTTGAGATTATTATTGGATTATTTACAAATGATATGGAGATAAACAATAATCTTGTGGATATTTATTTCTTGTCGATTGACTTAAATATTAATTTCTTGGAAAAAAATTACAGTTTATTGATATTTGAATTAATTAACATTAAAATTTTATTCGAATTTGAAAGATGTGGATTGAAACAAATTATCTAATATTTTTTTATCTGAATAAATATAAAAAATTAAAAGTTTAAAGTAGATTAAAAAAAAAAAAACATGGACGACAAGTGACAACAATTTCTTGTTTTTTACAGCGCTGGCCATTTAATTTACCGGTGTCCCTATCCCATGGCTGACGGGGAGGATAAGATACTGGAAACAGCAGTAAACTTTGGACTCTTCTCAGTAGTTTTGATCAAAGCCTCCAAAAAGATATTAATATCCTTGTTGAAGATTGACATGCTACCAAACAATGCACGTTGGGGCATTGTAGCCATAGCTTACCTATTAATTGTACGAGTTCATTTAATAGATGCACCAATATCAAAAAGTGCAAATCGATGTCGGTCAGGAAGTAAAGTTTTTTGATGCAACAAGTAATTAGATGGAGGTAGAGTCTAGAGTTTTCGTAAGTGTGATTGTGTCCATATATTTGGAAAGTAATCACATGTTTAACTTGGAAGATTTTGACTTGAATGATCCCAACCAATGCCTTACATATGCAGGGTAGTGCTCACAGTCACAAGTAAGATCTCCAAAAACAAAACTTTCGTTATCTCGTCAAATCCACCTAAGAAACAATAATGCAATTTTTTCTTAATTAATATTGCCAAAAAAGAAATTGAGACTAAAATTCCATGGGAAAATAAAGTGCAATTTCTATAAAATATTGAATTATTGCTTTAACATTTTGTAATGTTTTCTTTTAATTAAAAAAATTAAATTAAATTCTTTGTTTAAACAAAAATTACATAAATTTATTATTGAAACAAATATTACAATATTGTAAAGTTAATGCTCATCATAAAATGCACATATATTACGAACAAGTGGATGTGAGCTCAAAGAATTCAGAAGCTGGCATCCAGTTGAGGACACCTAGCACTTTTATAAGAAAATAAAATAGTCGTTTCCATTAAAAAATTATTGATAATATCTTATGACATTTTGTAATTAATTAATTAATTTGATGATAATCTTGGTTGACGTGATGATATCAGTGGTTGGGCTTTGTCTAGATGTTGGGCCCCACAAGTTTTTGACCCTGTCAACTAATATGACAACAATTGACTAACCCCATTGGCCCATTGGAATCTTGTGGTCCTGTGTGAACACCCTCACCTCCAAATTTGGCAAATCAAGCCTTGGGGCATGGAGAATGAAGATGTGCCTTTTGAGTTCCGTGGATTGTCCTTCTCCCCCACCGCGTTTGCTTTTGGGTGTGCATAGAGTCACTGCGTGCACATCTACTCTGCTTGGACAATCATCACATATTGAAAGGCGGCACCAAACCCATTGGCATTAGGCCATGTAAATTACTAATTGCGTGGAAGGAACATGAACATCCATCAGATTTTGACCATTTCTTTCACTAACTTATGCGCTTGCCCAGCTGTGTACAACTTTTATTTACATTGTACACTGTGCACCAAGTCTTGGACAGAAGGGAAAGTAGGGTAGGAAACTTCCAAACACAGGCTCTTTTAAGCCTTAACTCTCTTTCCTCCTTCATCCAATCCCCCTATATAACCCAACACTTGCAACTTTGAAGTTCAAATCACTCGGATCAAAATTCAATATCAAGTTAGAAAAAAAATTACTGGAAATATGAGGACAGTTGGTTTAATAGTATCTATATTGGTTAGCTTTGTATTAGTTGCTTCGGCTGCCAACTTTTACCATGAGTTTGATGTTACTTGGGGAGATGGTAGGGGTAAGATACTGAACAACGGCCAGCTTCTTACTCTCACCATGGACAAATTTTCTGGCTCAGGTTTCCAATCCAAGAATGAGTATCTCTTTGGGAAGATTGATATGCAGCTTAAGCTTGTTCCAGGCAACTCTGCTGGCACTGTTACTGCGTACTATGTGAGTTAATTTTATAATCAAACTTATGTTGTACTTCTCTCTTACAGCAACTAGAATATCACTGTGCTGCTATACTTACGTTTTATTATATGGGGCAGCTACGTTCACAAGGGTCGAGTTGGGATGAAATCGACTTTGAATTCTTGGGGAACCTTAGCGGTCAGCCTTACATAGTTCACACCAACGTATTTAGCCAGGGAAAAGGTGACAGAGAGCAACAGTTTTACCTTTGGTTCGACCCCACTAAAGATTTCCATACCTACTCTGTTCTTTGGAACCCCCAACGTATTATGTAAGTTTCTAGAGCTCTTAAATTATGATCTTTTTCTCTAGTATTAGAAAGTTTAATTGACTTTTGTTTTAAAATTCTTCAGCTTATCTGTTGATGGCATTCCAATTAGAGAGTTTAAGAATTTGGAGTCAACTGGCGTTCCATTCCCAAAGAACCAGCCCATGAGAATATACTCCAGTCTCTGGAACGCCGATGACTGGGCTACTCGAGGTGGCCTTATCAAGACAGACTGGAGCAAAGCTCCTTTCACAGCTTCTTACAGAAACTTCAAGGCTGATGCTTGTGTCTGGTCTTCAGGCAAATCTTCTTGTTCTTCAAGCTCACGGTCTAGATACACTTGGCTGACACAAGAACTCGATATAACAAGCCAACAAAGGCTCAAATGGGTTCAGAAAAATTACATGATTTACAACTACTGCAGGGACACCAAGCGATATCCTCAGGGCCTCCCTAAAGAATGCACTGCACAGTAATAAAGCCTAAAGATAGAATTGTTTAAAGCCTTGGTTGTAATTATAAATTCACCAACGTTATTTTCTGTCCCGTGCCTATTAGTGTTTCTGGTATTTTTGTTTTATTCTATGTTTTTTAACCTGTAACGTAAGCTCAATAATGTTTATATTTGAATATTATATTGTCTGCTCTGTTTTCTAGTTCTACTATGAAAATTATTGGTTCTTCATCCTTATCCTGCAGTATGATTTTGGTTCAATCAAACAGCGTAAGGCACAAGCTGGAAGTACGAACAATATGTACGTGGCAAGTGGAAAGTGGGTGGAAGGATATTGAAGACAAGTAAGGCAATCTAAAGCGTGACCTCGTACTTACGCACATGTTTTTTGTTTCTGAAGCCAACAATCTGACGTTGCCCAAAATAAGGGAAAATACAAATTAAAAAAAAAGTTGGATGGGTTGGTAGAAGAGATACTTGGGTTCTTTTGTGCCTAAAAACTAGAAAGCATCGATCAATAGTCCAATACCATTGCTTGAAAGCAAGAGAGAGGCTATTTAACACTACAAATTTACAAGGGTCAATGATCCTGACCACCAACAATTATAAAATGCCAGAAGATAATTTAAAAACTTTAGTTTCAACAGCGAGCAATAAATCAATTAATTGCTTCAGTGGTCAGGATGTGTTGAATTTGGCAAATAAAGTATTGTTCGAATTTACACACTATACTCATGAATGTTTGAAGGAAGAAAGAAAACTAAAATGAAGATTCGGTGAAGTGCTCAAAAATTGGTGGTAGATTCCGTTAATCAAGCCATGAAAACCAGCATCGGGATTTGGATTGGATGCCCATATAGCTTACCAATTGGCAACTGGCAAGGCGTCAAAGAGGTTAGATTTCTTTCTGAAACTCAGTAAGGTAGATATGAATAAGGATGGCAATGGAGTCGGCACCCTGCCTCCATCCTGAATGCAAAATTCCTTGCCTCACCCCTGCCTTCACAATTGTTTTCATTATCCATATTTTTCTTGCCTCTAAATTTGCAAAAGCTGTTCAGAGACTGGCAAAAAGTAAGCACTAGTATTAATTTTCAGGTAAAACTTAATGGTCAGTAATTTCTATCCCAGATGTCACTGAAACAGAGATTTTTTTTTTGGATTTTAAGGTTCAATGATGCATCTGAAGAAGATACTTGACATTATGAATGAACCAGGACTCACTCGGGAAAAAATATTGTTAGTCATCTGCAGGTAATTAAGAACGGTCTTATACGCGTGATAATTTGCACTGCAGCTAAAGATCAAATAAACAGTTTTGTCGAGTAATAATTATCTAACAAAAAGGTAGTTACCCATGCTTCTTCTAATGATCCTGATTTTTTTGTGTAATAGAAATAATGAATTTCGTTGAATAAGCTAAAAGCTGAAATGAACCAACAAGGTTTTGAATTAGAAAGAGCTATCCTATCTTCATCCACTGCTAGAACTAATCAGAGAAAATAGGAAGTTGGCAACTTTAATGGTGATCGCCTAGTGGCAACTTTAATGGTCATCTTTCTTGAGCCAAGAGGGGGAATGCAGTAATGTCACCGTATGGCAGCTCGTTGGAACCAAAGAAACCGTACCAATTCTTCTTTATAGTTGCTTGGATGATCCAAAATTTCAACGTCAGATTCCAAATCTTTTAATTACTATAATTACTGCCTAGAAACGAATATCCAGCCTCAATCTTGTATCCGAGCCTGTTTCAGGGACTACTTCTCAGTCACCTTACTTTCATGACGTGGGCTCCGAGCCTTGTACTCCTAGCTGTGCGTCATCTTATTTATCCCCAAATTCATTTGTGGCACCTGAAGAAGATGTAGTTTTCCACTCCCCTTTTGCAGTTAGTTCTGTCCGGAATCTTCTTTCTGGTATATAGTTGTCTTCCCTTTCCTTAAATTTGGTCATTTGTAATTTGGTACGTGGCCTATTTCCATTCACTTAGCTCACTTGTTCCGTAACTGGTTAACATTCGCGTAGGTGGAACATTCTTCACAAATAATGTGCAATATGCTACTTCCAAAGTCTTAACAAGAAACGGCAACACCAATTTTGTGCAATTTGTTCATAAAATATTAAAATTTAAATTTAAATAAATCATAATTTAAATCTTAATAATTTCAAATAAAAAAATTGAGACGCAATGGCACAATGATATCGCTAACATTAATTCGCAATATAACCTTCTTGAGCGTGACGATGGCGTCTCAGAGTGGCTAACAACCAGGTCTAGTACAGTTTGTGCGAGGGGAACTTTAATTTTTGTTTTGTTTTCAATGATGGAGACCGTTCCGGTTGAACATATCTATTTATATGTTTAATTTTACCAACTTTAACCAATTCCCTTGCTTCTCCTGCATTTTACTAACTTTGACCATTCCTTTGTTTCTTCAAGTGTCATCAGCCGATCACATTATTTTCCTTTTTTCAATTTTTGTATTTTTTAAACATTAAGATGAATTCTTTTCTTCTCAAAAAAATAAAAATAAAAATAAAAATAAAGATGAGAATTTTTTTCAACAAAAAATTACAAAATAAGTATTAAAGTATTATAACAAAAAATTAATTAAAAGTGTCAATTTTTTATTAATGAAAAATATAATTACTTTTTATCTAAAAATATAATATTATAATGTGTATCCAAAAACCTATTAAATATATGTTTAATAAAAAATATAAAATTACCAATAACCTTAAGAAATTAAGGTAAATGTATATATTTTAAAATTATGTTTGATAGTTCATTTATTTAATATTTATTCTTTTATGTTTATTAACAAATATAAAATTTTGAACTTTTATCAATTTGTAATTATTAATTAATTGCACATTTTTTAACTAATTATATTTTATTATTATAATACAAAAGATAATGAATATTTTTATATTAAAATTCATATTATTAATTTTGTAAAATTTGACCAAACTTTGACCTCCTTTTTCGGGCTCAATATATGTTAATGCTTGTCACCTTTTCAACTCTTTTGTTTTTTTGTTTTGTTTTAAACACAGATGATTAACGTAGGAAGATTTTTTAGAAAAATTAAAAAGTGGGATGTTATAATAAGATTATTTATCAATTGATATTATAACAAAGAATAATTAATGAAAAACATTATTTTTTAAATTGATAAACAATATAATTACTTTTTTACCTTAATTTAAAACTTAATCTAAAATTATAATATTTGCAAACAAAATATGTTACATGTATATTTAATTAAAATTTTGTATAACTATCTTATAATTAATATATATATGTCAATAACCCTTAAAAATTAAGGTAAATATATATATTTAAAAGTTAAGATTGATAGTTCATTAATTTTAATTTTTTTTGTCTTGTGTTTATTAATAACATAAAGTTTTGAGCTTTTATCAATTTGAAGTTGTCAACTAATTGTACATTTTTTTATTAATTTTTTATATTAAAATTTTCGTTTAACTAATTCTTTTTTACTATAATTTGTATATCAAAAAATCCTTTTAATTAAATATTTTTATTATGATATAAAATAATAAATATTTACATTACATAATCTCATTTTGCAATTTTTCTTTTTAAATGATTTGCTCTTTCCCTCATGAATCAATTTATCTCTTATTTTTTTATTTTTTTATCCAATAAATTTAACATTAATATTATACTTATATGTCACACTATCACTTTGATTAAGTTTTTTTAATCCATACATTAAATTTGACTCATTTGAATGTCACATGCACCTAATTATTTTTTTCTCATTTTTTCGTTCATTCCTTCTTGTCCTTTTTCTTTTCCTTTTTTTTTTTTCATATTTACTAAAGTATTTTTTAAAAATTTTTGGGATTTATTTGATATTATTTATTTATTTTTTGTAGATTTTTTAAAATTATTTAATTTAAAAAAATGATACAAAGAAATATTAATGTGATATCCGAATTCATTTTTTTTTATTCTTTGCCTTTTTTAATTTTGTTTACTACCAAAAAATCATTTAATACTAATAAATTTTTTTCGATGAAAATTTTTTGTTAATAATTATCGATGATTTTTTGACGATTTACCAATGAATTATAAAATTAAAATTATTACTGATTTACCGACGGAATACCATAAAAAAAAAAACCATTGGTATCGGAATGTTGGTGCGGGAAGTTAGCAAATTGGAGTGAGTTTACTGACGGAAAAAAATCTGTCGGTAAAGCCTTTACCGACGGATTACTTGATACTTTTTTTTTGAAAAAAAAATCCATATAACAATAAAATAAATAAATAAATAAATAAAAGAAAAACCCAATCCTTTCTGAATCCTCCGTAAATTCCCTATACTCTTTTCCTCTCTCCCTCTCTACACGAACCCTCTCCCTGACCGTTCAGCTCCTCAGTCTCGCTCTCCACCGTCGACGCTGGGTCTCTGCCATGGTCGCTTCCCTCGTCGCCTGCCCTCGACGCTGCCCTTCTTTCTATCGGTCTCCACACTCGCCACCCTCGAGCTCACCACGCGTCTTGCCCGCCATTTTTTCTGTCGGTCTCCACGCGTCTCGGTAGGCCTCGTCTCGCTCCGCCCTCATATCGTCTCTGTCGCTCCACCTTCGTCTCACTTGTCTTCTCCGCTTCTGTTCAAAGAAGGTATCGTGTGCAAGCTTATGGATTTCTCTTCAATGTATATCGTTTATGTTATCCTTGTTTACATCATATATATTATTTGGAATTCTAGTGGCACGGACAAAATGGATTGAAATTCAAGTTATAACAGTGGTTTGAGCATACCCATTTTGAATGGAATTGAGAAAGTGGAGATTGATTGTTCAAAAGAAGGGAATCTGGAAGCTGAAGAAAAAGGAGTATAATATTAAATTAAATTGTTTGTGAAAATGGATGCCCTCGTCAAGGAAGCTGGTAGAAGTATTTTATTTGATTAATCTCATTGCTTTTTATTGCGTTAATCATTCTTTTCTTGGTTTATAATTTTTTATAGGTAAACAACACAGTGTAGTTCTTCCAGAGAAAAATGGAATGTTTATAGGTGTCTGTTTCTTGCTACACTCTGCCTTTTTATTCCTTTTTATTTTTGAATTTTTTTTAACATTGAATTTTCTTATGCAGATCCGTTCGTTCTCCAATGAAGCTTTTGAGTCGGTTTGATGATCATCCTGAAATCGGGACATTGCATGATAATTTTGTGTGAGAATCTCTCTCTCTGTTCATTCAAAATGTTTAAGTAGTTTTATGCTTATTATATGGTTCAAAAATAAATTTTTATTCATACATTCATTTAATTCCTATATCCTGACGTGATATTGAAATGCTCTTAAGGGCCACGCAGTGGCTTTGGACATACTTTAATTTAATGAAAAGTGAGGAAGAAAGAAAGAAGGAACTGGTCTTCCCTTACTAGTCATTTCTTCGTCATCACTTCATCAGCATATTTGGAGATAGAACAATGATTCTGTCCAAATAACAAAACAACTCTAACAACAATATATTCTAATTCTGTGAAGCTAAGAACTGGTTCAAACATTTTGTTGTTTATTTGCTTTCATATTAGTAGTTTTCTTGCATGCAGTATTCTGTCAACATTTTTGGCTGAATAAATTAAGGGAGAAGGCTGAGTCATAATTCATGGATTTGTAGTAATCAAACCACATCCAATGTTCTAATAAAACATACCATGAACAAAATTCTATGACTGATCGATCAAACAATGGGTTAAGAAGCACTTACCTTCACTTCCCTTGTCATCTGGTGTGAAGCTCATATCATATTTAAAACTACTGAACTTATATAAGAGCTGATAATAGGATTTAGTTGTTTTGATAATAGGATGGTTAAATTCCATGGATGTCAGTATCACAGGCATATTTTTCATGTTAGATAGGAACATCTAGAGAAAAAAAATGGAAGGGACTTTTGCAATTCACGTTCTGTCTCTTGGTCATGGTAATGATTGTTGCATTATGTCTAAATTGTTGATCTTGGTAGCATCTTAAAACTCTTCTTCTTTTATTAGTATTAGTGTTGTTTTAGGGATATAATTAAGGAGTGTTATGGCTTGAAGGGATAATCTAATGTCTCACCAAACCTCTCAAATCCCTCAACCTCTGGAGCTAAAGGCCCAAACATTAATTTAACGTTAATTTTTTGTTTGTAATTGAGTCACTCTTATTTGTTTTTCATCACGTATTAGGAAAATGTGACTAGTCCCATATCAGTAACTGAATCAATATCACTGATTGCATGTTTAAGAACTGTTAAATAAATGAAGTACATGCCTATCTATTGAACCTTGGGAACATGTGATACAGAGATTGTATATTTGATAATTGCCGATTGATTTGGTTCTTGATTGATATTGTTATTGTTGCATATTCATAATATGGTGCCTAGATGTATTTGAAAGCTTGTCGAAATCTTCAATACACAAAAAATGCTCCTGCTGAGGGCTTAGGGTGTTGTTTGTATATTCTACTGATTTTACTTGGAAATAACTCAGTAGAACTATAAAATACAATATACATTTGTTTGTTGTGGGTTGTAAAATATGCTCAAACTTTCTCAAGGAATATATGAAGAATAATACTATGCTGATCATAACTACTGTCTCTTCTTTTCTTGTTATGTTAGTGAAAGTTGTGGCAGTTTTCTTTAAATCACTTTGTCATCTTCAAATTTAAGGCTGATCATCTGGCTTTTTGAGCTGTCAATTTTAATTCTGTTGTTCTGCTTTATATATATATATACACACGTTGCACAGTTAGATAACTTCTGCTTTGTTTGTGAAAAGTTGTTAAATACATGTTCTTTTGCATGAAGAAAGTCAGTGGCTCAGGTGGTATTTCATGCAATGGTGGTGAGCTTGTGGATTCTTGCAGTGAATTTAAATTTCTGTCAATTAGTCACCGGCTAAACTCTTCTAGTAAGGTTTTCTCATATCCATGTTTTTGGATGCTTATTTGTGCGATCTAATTTGCAGGCTTCTTGACCCTGATCTGGAAAGCTCTTGGTCTCTTTTTGTTGGCAACTATATCTGGAACTTATATTGCATCTTCCCTCGCAAATAGGGCAGCACATTCCACACTTGTTTGTTGCTCTTGTTAGACTTGTGCAATCAGCTTCGATAGCAGGATTGGAAAGCTTATAGCTTCAAAGCTTTAACTCCTTGTGCACGCTTAAATGTATTTTTTTTGTATTTTCATTTAATTAGAATTCGTAAATAACTTTTTAAAATATTATTGTTCTTTTATAAACTAAATGTAATGTTTTTTTTTTCTATTTATGTATATTTTAATATTTATATAGTTGTTTTAAAAATAAATTTAATAAAAATACAATAAAATGAACAAAATTATAAAAAAAATGTAATTAAAAATAATTGAAAAATACGTATTAAAGAAGAAAATATTAACTATTATTGATGGATTTTTTTTTCGTTGGATTATTGACTTGTTACCGACATAATTTGGCGATGAAATATAAATGGAATTTTTATTGACAAAAAATTTTGTTGGTAATTATTGATGGAAATTAAATTTTACCAATGAAAAGGCATTATCAACTTGTTTAATAACAACAAAATTTTACCATTAGTAATTTCAAGGTTAAAATATTACTGACGACAAATTAATCTTTATCATCTACAAAATTCATTTGTAAAAGTTATATTTTTGGTATTGATTTTTTTTTAATTTATACATTGAATTTTATAAGAAAATGAGGTCAATAGAAGTGTCCACATGGTACATCCATTTGGCTTTCTTCTCTTTCTATTTTCTTTTTTTGTCACTTTTTGTTTTTGTTTTGTTTTAATTTTTTTAATTAGATAAATTTTGTAAGAAATAAGTAAATAAAGGTGTAGATTATAAAACGATTCCTGTTTGTTTTCAATTGTCTTGATTCAATATGTGCCTTTTTTTTTTTTTTTAAATTCAAGATTAGATCATGTTTTCTCTTTTTAAAAATAAAAGTTGGGTTTACAATTTAGCCGTTTAAGGTGTTTTGCCCACTCACTCTTGATATATATCAAAATATATTTTTTATTGTCTCTTTTAATTTAAATATATATTATATTAATAAAATTAATAATAATATCTTAATTTAATAAAAAAACCATATTTATACATATTTAAGATGTAATTTATACTAAAACATTTTTATAAGCATTAACTAATTTTAGATCATTTGATTAAATTTTAATTAATATTGATTAATATGGGTCAAATGTGGCTTGTAGATTTATGTGTCAGGTTAAGATTGGTTATAAAATATAATAGCTCGATATTGAGGCAAATTTTGAAAATTGAACTAAATTATTTAAAAAAGGGTCAAAGTTAGGATATGTATAAATCTACTCACCCATTACCATTTTTAAATGAAGGTGTCTTTGTGGCATCCCTATTTGGGTTTCTTTTTCTTAGGCCATTTTCTTTGTTTTTTTTTTTCTTTTTTGTGCTTTGTTTTTTAATTGTCTATTTACTATTTCTATTTGATGCTTGAAAAAGTAAATGGGCAATTATAATGTCAACGTGGCACATCTATCTGGCTTCTTTTTCCTTTTTCCTTTTTTTAGCTATCATTTTATTTTATTTATTTTGTTTTTGCCTTTTTTCAATTTTAATAAGATAAATGTTGTAAGGCATGGCAATAAAGGTTATGATGCCAAACTAACCCATACCTAATGGGTTTTGATATGTTGATCCAATAAGAATGATTATTTTAAAATCAGAGTTGATCGGTGGAGGGTGATTTTTCTTTTTCGAAAATTGGGTAGGATTGGTGATGAGTTTACTCTATCTTGTCCAGTCCTAAGGCATATATAAGAATATATATATATTATTTATTTAATTTATATTTATATATTTGTATTTGTCAAAACGATTTTGGGGACCGTTAAACAAAAATTTTTTAAAAAGTTTCAAAACAAGGCGAGTTGTTACTAATATTTTTTGTTAGGTATTATTAGTTAACTAAAAAGTTTATTTTGTTAATAAAATAATAAAATGAGTTTATAATTTATTAAAAAGATAATTTTGGTCTACGAAAATAAAACTGAGTATAAGAGTCGATTATGTGAGAGGAAAGATTAGCACCCCTATAGCTCAAAAAAAAATTGATACCAATTGATCATATGTTATCTTTACTATTGATAAAATGGTCTTAATTCTAATATTAAAAAATGATTCCATAAATTTTTTTTTTGTAAAAATCCTTTTTTAGAACCTTTTTATTTAGGAATAAGATGAAAATTTTTAATACCAAAACATTTTCTAATTCTCCAATATCTTGACAAAACTTTGAAGTATATTTCTTTATTTAGGACTTTCATACTAATTCTTTCAAAAACTTCACATAATATTCCTTTATAAAGAATAATTATTGAAAAACATTTAAATATCTAAGCAGGATCCCAAGAATTATTTTTACTTAGAAATATTAATGTGTTTGGTTCATGAAAATATCTTTGTTTTCTATTTTTATTTTCATAAAAAATAGAGAATGAATGAAAAATTTTGCTTGGTTAAAAAAAACAAAAACTATTTTGTGGAAAATGAAAATGAAAATAAAATAAATTTAGAGAATAAAAAAAAAGTTATTTTCAACATTTTCAATGAAAACATTTGAAAGAAATGTAGAATATGAAAACACGATACTTTTAAAATTATTTTTAATTTTCCAGTTTTGAATAAATTGCTCTACAAAAATTCATTTCACTTTTCTTTTTTCTACAAGAGTTTTACCTAAATTTGTTTCATTCTTCGACTGTTATTTTTGCTTAGCTTTTCCAAAAGTATGATTTCCCATGGCTACTTTTCTAAGAAGGCTAACTTCTTTGGTGCTCTTGTTTCTAGTTGTAAGCTTTATAGATGCTAGAGAAATCTTAGTTGGTGGGAAGACAGACGCTTGGAAGATCCCATCCTCTGAATTAGACTTTTTCAATAAATGGGTTAAAAATTCTCATTTCTGCATTGGCGACTTTCTAAGTAATAATCTACTTTTTCTGAGCTTTAATATGATGATGCACTTCACTTTGTGGAATTGTTTTTTACTTGAGTTTTTCTAATTCCTTTTTGGTGTTTTTGTTAGTATGGGAATATGATGGTGGCAAAGACTTGGTGCTGCAAGTGACTAATGAGACTTATGCAAGTTACAATACCTCAAACACAATTGCAGAGCATAAGGATAGAAAAATCAAGGTGAAGTCTGAAAAGTTAGAGCCATTCTATTTCATTAGTGGAGCTAAGGGTCATTGTGAGCAAGGCTAGAAGTTGCTTGTGGTTGTGTTGTCTCCAAGGCACAAACACACTAGAATCTCTCTAGCACCTTATTCGGAGAAAATTGAAGGTCCTGCCATTGCCCCTATAAGCAGTGCTGTAGTGTTGAAGGCTTTTTCCTTGGTGACACTAGGGTTTTGGTTTTGAGGTGTGAGTGGATTTATGGATTTTTAGTGATAATTTGGGATTTTTCTATCCATTATTATTATGAAGATTATTTCATTTTTTTATATGTTGTTGACATTACAGTAATATAATTCATTTAATGATTCTTTCACATTACTTCAATACGATGGAAAGTGCTCATCTATCTTTGTGCCTGACATTTCTCATTGAAACAAGGGTAGTTTGCAATCATTTATTGATTCATCTAGAGCCTAAACAAGCATTATTTTAAAAAGGGTTGATGTCACTAATGTTACACTTGATCTGGATGAATCAATATATTTTAATTAGTACATTTGATTTTTCCCCCAATTTCTTTTTATAATGTTTTGCCCACCATATTATGTAATGTTTAAGTTTTGAGTGTTTTACATAGATAAGTTCTCTTAAAGCAATTTATTTTAATTATAAAATTTGTAGATACCAAACACATTTTTATAATTTTTATTTTTAAAAATAAATTTTCATTTTATCTACCAAACAATGTTTTCTAAAATTTAGAAAATAAAAAATAAAAATTGTTCTTAAAAAATAAAAATAGAAAATGAAAACAAAAATGAAAATGAAAATGAAAAATATTTTCATTAACCAATCATAACCTTAGTTTCTTATTTTTAATTTTTAATTTTCCAATATCTAGGTGGAATTAAAAAATAAATTTTTTGTACAAATTCACATGCATATTTTCTAAGAAACTAAAATAATATTTTTTGGCAAAAATAATCATTTGAATTCTTTTCAATATTTAAGTAAGGATTCCAAAATCATATTTTTACTTAAAAATATTACCTTCCTATTTTTAAAATAATAATAGTAAATTTTTATTTACAAATAAATACTACAATTACAACTATAAAATAAAATAATTTCATATCCCAAAACATGTATTTATATATATATATATATATATATACACACACACATAATAAAACAAGCAAATAAAATAAATTACATGTGACGATACCTATGAATCAAACTATTGGGCTAAATAGAGTTGGACAAGATTCTTTCAAGGCCAGTCGGATTGGGTCTTGGTCACGAGTCAAGTCGGTTTAATAGCTTCCTTTTTTTTTTGACTCAATTAAGCAAGCCTCCCAAAATCTCCTTTTTTGTTTGAAAAGTCAAACTCTTATCGTTTTTTTTATCGTTCAAAGCCTTTTTTTTTAAATCCACAAACCTTTGACTTTTCAAACTATTTTCCTCTTTTTTTTTTCTTTTTTTTCCCTTTCTTCTCTCATTTCCCCTTCTCCTTTTTCTTTTTTCATTTCTTTCTTATCTTTTTTTCCCTTTTTCTTTCTCCACATTCCAAACCTCACTTTTTTTTTTCTTTCTTTTTATTATTGTTATTATTCTTCCTTTTCTTTTTTTTTCTTGTTCTTTTTCTTTCTATCGAACGTCGAGACCCCTTTTTTTTTCTTTCTTTTTCATCGAATGGTGTCCTCCCTAAACAAATCATGAGACTTTTTTTATGTTTTGGTTTTTTACTATTGGGGTGAAGATAATGATTTTGTTTTTACACTATTATTGTTGTGATTTTTTTTTGCTGAATTTGGAAAGAAAAATAAAATGATTTTTTTGGTTTTTTGATTTGAGTATTGGTTATAGGGGTTTAGAGGTTGTGATGGTGGCTTTTTTTTGAATGGCTTGCAAGGAAGCTGGTGATTTTTGGTTGATTATGGTTGTTTGAAGGATGACCGAATGGAGTTAATGGTCATGGGTTGGTTTTTTGTTGATGGAGATGGATTTCAATTCTTAAATTAGTGGTTTTGGGTGTGAAA